TTTTGCTTGTGACGCGAGATGGGTGGGTTTGGTCTTTGATTGGACCATGAGACTTTTTTGTATCTTATCTTCATGCATTTATTGATGAATATATGCTTTGTAGAAGTTCTATCTTGACGTGGTGAGTTTTTTTTTTTCCAATTAAGGTTAACATTTTTTTTTTTTGCTTTTAAGATCTAAGTGGAAGTACTTAAAAAAGTTTTTATAGTTAAGTTCTTTGCTTTCATTTGCTAGTTTCAATTCAAGTTTAATTTAGTTTAACCAAAACCCCTAATTTACCTTTTTGTAATTATTTTAATTAATAGTTCAATCATCTCAATCAAAATCATACTCGTCCCCCTTTGTTCGACACAGGGTCTTACCAAAACTATATTATTACACAATTAGGTACATTGCCTAGCGTGTGTTACAATTTAGTTGCGATAGAATCAGTTTTATAAATTTAAAACTTTAATTAATATCTTATATACTGTAAATCACATATCATATATTATGGGTGTAAGTGTTGGTCTATATTAATCGTAATCTTATATACAAAAGGAAAAATAATTACATCAATAAAGCCAAGATATTTGGATGCACGGTTTCCTAAATTTTCAGGTTCGATGGGACTTTTTGCATCTACACATTTTAGGAGTGTAAACACATTGAGCACATATGCGTTTACTAGAAGCGTTCACTTCTTTTTATGATTAGCATTTCACGACTTTAGGTTAGTTGACCAACCACCTTCATAAGATATCTCTTCCTGCATGTCAACTTCAAGAAGGACCTTATGAGACTACAAACACAACATGACATTAGAAGCATATATTGAGAAACTAAACATCCACAACACATGATAATGGAAAACAAAGCCTTGCTTGAATCAAGTTCTTGAAAAAAAAGGAAAAGTAAGGGATGCAGCACCTTCTTAAGTTAAGAGTTTAGCCATGGCATTTTATTTTGAAGAAAAAAAAATCATACTTGTAATATTCTTATTGAGTCTCTAGAAGAGGTTTTGGCATTCTTTGAAAATAAGAAATATCCGGAGGATTTTGTTTTTTTATAATAACATGTAACGTTTTGATATATTTGTATTGTTTTTTTTAATATATTAATATATGTCTTCTATTACATACTACTATATAACTAAATAAAAAAATATTTAAATAATTTCCGAATACAAACTTTTAAAAATCTATTTGGAAGGTCAATATCCTAAATCTTGTTTTCCGCTAGTCTTTTATATCATAAAATGATTATCCATATTATTAATCTCTTTGTGAGTTAAAAGAAACAAATCATACTATTTTTCCTTAAAAATTATATCCAGTTTTCGGATACATCACAATGCACAATCATTTTACTAGTTACTTCATTGTTCGAAAATAGAACACATCATTTCATATCCAACAAGGTTCATTTGTTCATTGTTATCCCCGTCAAAATGGTTGTTCTAAACACATACAAAATGGTCGGGTTCGATTTGATATTTCAAACGGTTTTCATAAATAATTATATGTTGACTATTCTTATTAAATTTAGATTATACCTTAATTATATGTTTCCAATGGAATAACTCATAATATCATTGGACACTTAACATATCCAATGGGTAAACCTCGAGTGCCAAAACCCGACTTTTGATGCATGCAGTTTTGTTTTTATATTGTCTGACAGAAACAGAATATAAATATAAATAGAAAACCCGAAACTTTGGGGCGGATCCTCATCATCACCAAAATACAAAACGCCTAACGAAATCGGGTAACCGGCGTGCAAAGAAATGGGCCCGGTTCAAACCCATAAATGGCAACAAACTTTTCATACCTTTAACCATAGACTGAATATACGGCCCAGTTTAGCCCAATACTCAAAAGGCCCATATCTGGGTCGTATCTTAGTCTGACACACGTGGCGCAAGGATACACGTTGGGTGGGTCCCACCTGCTTTATTAGAGAAAACGGTAAAAAGAAATTTCGAAAAGTTTGATGATGAACTTCCCAGCCTTACAACTTCTGTAAAAAGCTATTTTTTTCCTGTAAGTTTTATATTTGATTTTATTTTGTAATTAAAACAAAAAGATAGGATAAAACAAAGATATATGTTTTTGGCAAAATCTACTGTTATCTTAAAGTTGTAAACTAGTAAATAGAAGCTGGACCTGATAGATGAAAATAGAAGTCGGAAGCTCTAGCTGTTAATTTTATTTGTAAGAAGTGTTCAAAATAATAATTATAAGCTTTACGAAATATTTAATATGACTGTAATATACAGTATATAACAAAAGCTAAAAACCCAAGAAGAAACTATCAAAGTAACAGGTGAAATAGCTTTTGAATTAAATTTTTTTTATCTAAAATAAAAGTTTTAAGGTCGCAAATCATTTTTTTTCCTAAAAGATAACGCCATAAATATTTAAAACCTCTTAAAATCTTGTTGGATGTTAGAACATTAAAAACCAAACATATTGATGCTAAGAAATAGAAATAAGTAAAATTTTAATATGGATTGACTTTTAATAAGTAAAATTTTAATGTGAAGGTCGAAGATTCTATCTTCAAAATAGTTATTTCAAAATAGTTATTGCGAAAAACATCAAACTCCAACATATATAGTCACTTGTATGATTTTGTATACCAATATAAAATACACTAACTATTGAAAACAAAACCTATTTTTAAAGAAAAAATACGTAGATGTTCTAACATTGATTGTATAGTTAAAAATACATATTCTAATTATTTTAACATATTAAAAGTTATATAATAAAGAAACAATCCGGTACTTGACGTTATACTCAATCGGGTACAACTGGATTAAGATAAATAATTATATAATACCAATAGTCTGTCCTCGTAACAAATTTCTTTAAAAGAATAAATATTTAATGAAAACAAATCAAAATACCTACATTGAGTCTACTAACTGATGTAACAATTTTGTTAATTATTTGATCAGGAAAAATTATACTTTAATGTGAATATTATATAAACTATTTAATTTGTTAAATTCAGATTATATAAATATATAAAATATAAAAATACAAGTCATCATTTTAACTTGTTTAAAAGGAGGGTTGAAGAAATTACTAAAAGAATCAAATCGTTTTCTTATATAACCCTTTCATCGGTGTTTGTGTGTTCAGTGCTCATTCAATCTATTAATTTATAGTTTGATATCGCTTATAAATATTTATGAGAGTTTAAATTGAAAATTCTCAAAAAAAAAACCCTTTATGAAAATGCAATTAATAGAAATTCCATTATAACAAAAAAGAAAAATAAAAAAAACAAAAAGATAAGAGGGATGGTGGCAGGGGCACAGTAAGATTGGGTCGGTGTGTATTGTAAAATCAAAGAGGGGGTAATAGGGTAATTTTGTAAGTAGTAGAGTGGGGTCATATATTAAGTGAAAATAAATATGTCCCTTCCCCCTCATCTTATAATTATATTTATAGTATCCACCCCTACTCTCCATAGGTTCCCTAGCTCCATGTGAATACCTGAACTCAACTCCCTTACTTCCCTTTTTCACCCTTTTTATTTTTCATTTTTATACCTACCACAACCACCCATTAAATGTGTCCCATGAGTATACATACGGTATCATTTTTGCATCTATCTAAAACGTTAGATATATGATAATAATTTTACACAGCTTAACTCTATCTATTTAAAATGTTAGATATACCATATAATCTAATTCGGTTGTTCTATACAATTATATGAACCTTCATACTAACTAACGAAAAGAGCCATTGTGGACAATATGGATGCTCCTACTTATATAAAAGCAAAGGAGACCGTTTCATGATAATATGATACAATAACACTACTTCTTAGAGACGAAAGCTCATGAGGTCAGACAAATATTTGTTAAGCCATGAGTGTTCAGATAACTATATAGATGATAATTTTGTTATTTTTATTGATGGATACCCAAATTCTATGAAATCCATTTTACTTTGTTTTTTTATTAAACCTCTCAAATATATTTCTTTTCTTTACCATTATTTTTTTTCAAGAGAAACCATTGTGAGTTTTTCTAGCAATTAATTATAAAAAACAACCAAAAAAGATTTATCTAGTTAAATTTGATTTTTATTTTAAGTTGAAGTTTATAATGGATAAATAATAAAAATTTCATTAAATTTTTATACTGAATAACTTTCAAACTATTGTTATTTTACAAAATTTAAAATTTTATGTAATTCTTTCTAAATAAATAAAAAACCGTCAGTTTGTTAATTTACCCGATAAAATATTTAATGTTTGAACCGGAAAAAAATCTAAAGAATAATAGTTTTATGAAAATTGTCTTTATTTAAAAGTTAAAGTCAAGTAATTACTGAAAAATATGTAGTATTATTTGTGATAATAAGTTTGTTAAAATAAAAGTTAGTAAAAAACTAGTATATTTCATAAGTAAAATGTCTTGATAGGTTGATCATATTAGATCCTCTAAGTAGACTGAAACAGTACTCTGTGTCCAGATAATCATTATTTTGATAATAGATCAAACTGACACATGATTTAAACAACGATAAAAACATTATTTACAAACTAAAATCGATGAACCTTAACTATTGATCAAATCACCTTAATCAAACAATGGAAATCAATACCATGTCGATCTCCCATCATACTGATTTAAAGTTTCATGCTAATACATGAGAGATAATAATGGAACACCATGATCATGGTAACATGTCCAGGTTTGAAAACAAGACTCACTTATATATGATTACATTTCTCAGCCATTAATGAACTCCAACTCCAATCTTTGAGCCAAAGTATATATGTATAAAGCTAAGATCGATCAACATTGTCTATCATGTCAAAATAAAACAGCTTAATTAACCAGAAAAACGTACCCTATTAGTTTGTAACACATGCATGAAGATTACATCTACATCTTCCTACCTCATTCATATTGGATTCCTTATTTTTATGATGATGATGATGATGATCTATTAATAGATAAACAGTTTGTTTGTGGTCATAAACATTAAATGGTAGAAGATCATTATAAATAGACTGATGATAGAAACATTTGATGACTTAGTACAATACATATTACATAATACAAAGCGCCCACCATAACTCCATAATAGAGAAAATCTTTAAAATGACAAGAACATACAAGCGTACAACAGATTTAAACGTACTACGATATTAATTTCACATTCAATTCTCGAAAGACAATGAAAGGACCATAAAATCGATCAACTATGGATAATTAAGGCCGCCGCCGTCCATTGATCAGAAGCTCCAGATACAGTCAAGCTCCGTGGGACCAGGCTTCTGGTTTTCTGTCTGTGACGATGATGGCTGCATCCAGTTCTCACCGGAAGAACTCCCGTAGTTGCTTGCTTCTCCGCCATGCAATGGTGGCGCCACCGATGAGTAAAAGAACGGAAGCTGAAGATTTTCCTGCAATGTTCTCAAGCTAGGGAAGACTGAGACGCCGGGATTCTTTGGGGTGCACATGGCGGTGGGATCGAAGGTGGGAGTTAGAGGCTCCGGCGGTGGGAAATCAAAGAGAGGCTGAGGGCCGAAGGTGCAAGTTGAGGCAGTGGAGAAACAGGGCACGTGCTCTTTTGAAGCGGCGTTGCTGTCGTAGGAGAAGCTTTCTTGTTCGCCGGGAACGTAGGTGGAGGAGTCGAGTAATGGTGGTAGTGAACCCGAAACCGCCGACGAGGAGCTGGCTTCTTTCTCGATATTTATCCCACCGCTAAACCACTTCTTCCCAACGCCAACGCTACCACCGCCGCTGCCGCTGCCGGCGCCGCCGACAGATCCGACACCACTTTTCTTGAAAACACGGGAGATCACCCATTCATCCTGATTAATTAATTACCAATAAGATTTATCAAAAACCCAAAACAAGAACAACAACAAATAGTAGTATAACAAAAGAAAAACACGAACTTTTAAATTGAATCTGAATCTTTAATGCTTGTTCAGTGTGTACACAAGCCACAAAGAAAGACTTCTAAATTTTAATGCAAGCAAAGAGCAGTTTAACCGTTAAAAATCCTGCATTTAATACAACCTTTAACTAAAATAACTAACACAAAACACACCATGCAAAATCCAAATTCTTGTCGATGACATAAAGTATAAACCCTAGAATGAGGTGATGAAGTTCTTGAAGGTACCTTGGAGCTTTTAGAGAGAAAATGGTAGGCAAATTTGCCTTCAAGACGATATTCATGCATCACCCAGTTGCTTTTCTCCCCTTTTGGAGCCCTACCACGGTAGAAAACTAGGGTTTTCTTCATCCCCACAAGAGCAGAAGTCTTGGAGCTGTAGATCTCGCGGTCTTTTCCGGTGGCTTTCCAGTAGCCGGCCTCCGTCGCCCTGTTAGTTCTCAGCCCAGTTGGGTATTTCCTGTCCCGGAGACTGAAAAAGTACCATTCTTTCTCCCCCATTTTCGCTCTTTCTGTACCAAAAAACAAAAACCCTAAAAAAAAGTCACAAAATGCGTGAGCTGTGTGTGAGTGTCGATCAATAAGTTGAATCGTACGTGGAAGCTCCCATGGTTCGCATTTGTTAAGATCAACGTCGGCGAATGCCCGGCCGGTGAAGCTGCCGTCGAGGACTTTTCGGAGAAGGTAACAAGTGATGAGTTCTTCATCAGTCGGATGGAATCTAAACCCAGGTGGCAAACAAGCTTCAGTGTTATCAAAATGGTGTGTGAAAAACTCCATAGCAGTATACTTAAGTAGCACCTCCTCCGCACACGGCTGTCGGAAAAAGGCAAACTGGCGTTTTGGTTTTGGTTTTGGTGTGATGACGAACGAGATATGTATCTATATATAGGAGTTGGAGGTGGGGTGGCGTTTATGGGGATTCGGAGAATCAAGAAATTAATAATATCTGTACTATCAATCGATTGAAAGATTAAAATAAAAATGGAATTTAGGGTTTTTCGTGTCTTTGGGTCTGCAACTCTGCCGTGGCTCTTATCATATCCATATGGGTTTAGAGAGAGAGTATGTGTTAAGAGTATGCGTGCGTGCGAGAAGAAGTGTGCAGGGTATTCCTATTGTCAGTGGAGAAGAAAAAAGAGGGATGGAGAACAGTAACTAACTCCATCTTCGTTTTTTTACCAAGTCTACCAATTTTAACGCTATTTTAATTTTTTATGTATCATGATTTTAGTATTTTAAATGTCGATTAGTTTTTGGGATACAAAACATCTTTAAAGAAGAGTATTTGAGATGGCTTATTTGTATGTTTGACAATATATTAGCTATAATTGATAGTTGGAACTTGGAACCCGTAAATTACAAGCTGATTATGTGTAGTTGTACGCTTAAAAACTTGAAATAGTTTTTGATTTTTTTATTTAAAATAAAAGTTTTAAGTTCTTATTATTGAAGGGACAATTTTCTTAAATTTTAATTTTTTTTTAAACTGAAAGTTTATAAAAAATTTAATAGCTAGTTGCCGAACATACTCACACCATATCATAAAACAATAAATAGATATAGATTATTTTTTAATATTTAACAAATTTTGCTTATAGTTAAGATAAAAAAAAAAAAAAAAAAGTTGACTTGATAAAAGAGTAGATTGGTATTTGCATTGCTGGTAAAAACAAAACAAAACTACGATTTAATGTATATATGTTTTTTTTTGTGTGTTTAGAACAAAGATAACTGGTAAAATAGTTTCCTGTTTGATAAGAATTTTCTATTAAGTTAGAACTAAATAACTTATCAAACATTGTTTATTTAAATCAATAAACATTTTTTATTGTACTTCATCTAAACACTTAAAATGCATTAAACCGCAATATACTAATTAATACTTTAAATAAATAATCCAAAACAGGCCCTAGTTTAATCTCCATAAGCCTCCGTTCAACTGATATGTTAATGTCTTACATAGATATGATATTATCTGACTTTATGTATATTGTAGTTTATTATTTATTTCAAAAAGATCTTTTGCATATACACATATCTCCCATAATTAAGCTATGTAATCTATGATTATTTGATTGTCTAATTTACCAGATGGGATTTCATCATCAATGCCTAGTACCTAGTTGTAAAATGAGGTCATATATTATTATTTTAACCAGGCTTTCTAACTCATTTTCTAACAGTACTAAAGCAATATATATATATATATATATATATATATATATATATATATATATATATATATATATATATATATATATATATATATATATATAGGTTCAAGTATTTAAAGTAATTATTGTGTTATTGTATGCACCAATCAGATTTTAGATAATCAAATCATTTAATAAATAATATAAGGGTATTATAGTAATCTTATTATTAGTTAATTATGGTAAAATAGATATATAATTGGATATTAGCTGTATTCCTAGTAAATCGCTAGAAATACAGATATATTTATAACATTCAATCGACATCAAGATTCAAAACCCTAAATTGAAGCCAGTATCGTTTTTTCCTTCTTCACTTCTCAAATCCGATCGACACCTCCCAAAATCGCACCTCCTCTTCTTCGCGTCTCCTCCCTTCTGTCGACAGAAGCCAAATGATTGCAGCTCCCTTCTCTCTTCTCCAATCGATCGATGAATTAACAGCTCCTTAATCTTGCTGATTGATCGGACGTAATTGTCTCCTTTTTCCTCCTCTATTTCTGATTCGAATAACACCACACTCTTCTATTTTTTTTATTGGCAGAACTGATGAATGCTGGTGGTTTGGCTGAGGTTAATGAAGTTATAAGGTTGGGTGTTTGGTGATGGTGGTGGCTGGAAAGTGGTATAGGGTGGTACTGAGTGGTTTGGTGGTGGCAGTTTTCACGAGACAGGGGGAAGAATAAGGGTGGTTTCGATTGGCTGCTGTGATTTGGGTTCTCACAGGTGGCTGTTTAAGGTAGATTCGTTGGTGATGAAGGTGGGATAAAGGAGGGAGAAGGGTGATGTTTTTTGGGAGTTTGAAGGTTGTTAACGGTGATGGGTAAGAAATCTGTAAAGTACAAAGTGAAGGTAGTTTGTCACTATTTTCATATTAAATTTACTTCTTCTTATATGATAAAAATCAATTTGTTTCTGTAGATGATTCAATGGATGATATTGGTGTCATTCCAATTCTTTTGGAATGGAATCACGAATTCCAATTCAGTTGGAATGGAATCATGAATTCTAATTCTGTTGGAATGGAGCATGGATATTTTCTCACTGATTTATGCATGTTCTACAATTCTTGGTTATTGGTTTTGGTGCAATTCACAAGTCCACATATTTTTCCAAAGGAATTTAGTTTTTTATTTTTAATTTGCTAATGCATTATTGGAATCTAAACTACAATTTGGTTTTGTTTTCACAGAAGTTGATGCTTGAAGAACGGACCACAAAATTGAAAGTGATTCTAAGCAACATTATTCTTTTAGAATGTATTAGTGTCGTTGTTAGATTTTGATGTTTTCTTTCCCGTTTTGAAAGTTTTTTTAGTTTTATTTTTTAAAACTAATTGTAATTCTTAACCATTGTCACCTGTATTATATAAGAAATAATGTATTTTTTGTTTTTATTCTTCAATTGATTGTTCAAGAATTTGTTGTTCTACAAGAAGTTTTTTAAAGTCATGATCAAGAAATAGGTTCAAGATTATTTTTATATTTATAGTTCAAGAATATTTTTATTTTTAAATATACTCATAAACATATTTTGTCGGAATCTCCGAATTAAAAGAATTATAATTCGTAAAATCGGGTTTTTAAAATTAATAGAATCTATGATCCCTTAAAATATGCAATTTTCCTTTATTAAATGTATATTAATTGACTAAAATACTCTTGTAATTAAATTAGATGATATTTTTCAATTATATTTAATTCAATAATATGTATTAATAACTTTCTTAAAAATAAGTAAAATTGATTGGCCCACATTTATGCATACAATAACACAATAATTACTTTGAATAAAATAACCTAAGCCTATATATATATATATATATATATATATATATATATACATACACAGAGAGAGAGAGAGAGAGGTTCAAAATATAACCAATAATATGGCCTAATCAGATAACCACTTTTTACCCTTTAGATTGTTCCATCGACGTATTAGATCAAAACCACCCACGATAAATTTTTGCATGATTGTGTAAAGAATTTGATAAATTGTAACATCTTGTTTCGGGACGTTTCTCAATTTAGGGATTGTGAACCGTAATTCGATCATGTAAAAGCCTTGGGCTTCAAGGGAATGGAGTTTAGACTCTATCGAATATTGATGGTGTTGGATTAGTGATTTAAACTTTGGATTGTTCGTTGGAAGCTGAGGGATAAAATGGGAAAGGTAATGTTTCGGGCTTCTTGCATAAATTAAGGATTATAATTCGAGATGTTTTTAGACATAAGTAACTAGATAGAGTTGTGGGACTTGTCGATACCTTTTTGTGGATATAAAGATCATCGAAAACGGAGTTGAAACGAAGAAGCTATGATTGTTCGAAGTTAGGCAAATGGAGTCTGGTAGTACGCAGGACGTACATAAGGGAGTACGCAGGGCGTATATGCTGAGGCTGGGACGCATTTTTAGTGGAGAACGCAGAGCGTACTCAAATTTATGCAGGGCATAATTCCGTAGTGGAAAAACTCTAATTTCGGGGTTTTGAGCCATATTTAAGGTCTCTAACCCCTTGGGCGTCCTATATCATCAACTTCCACCCTCTTGAGCCTCTAACTCTAAACCCTAGCTTTCTTTTTCTTGTTTTCAGCCTTTTCATCATTTATGAGCTTATTTCTCTATTGGAAGGTGGAATCTTGAAGAAACAAGGTGGTGGCAAAGTTTCTAGAAGAAGGATTCAAGTATAGATCCAATAAGATTACATCATTTTTGGATCATTGTGAGTAAAAAGCTTCAAAATTGCTAATTAGTTTCATAGATCTTGTTAATTTTCATATTTGTCACTTTTTGGTCAATTTAGTACATAAAGTTTAGATCTTGAAAGTTTGTGACCTTGTTATGGATAAAGTTGGAAACTTTATCCATCTACACATCATAATGATTCTGATATGAAGGTTGGAGACTTGGACGTAATGGATTAAGATGAGAAAGATGTGTTTTTGGTCCCTTTGAGGCTTAAAGACTAGATCTTGGTTGTTTGGGCTGTAATAATGCATAAAGTTGGGAACTTTATCCATTATGGAGCTATTAGGACCTTCATTTGAGTATTGGATGGTTAGCATTTGATCATTAAGTGCTTAATATGAAGATTGGCAAAAGAGGCAGTACGCGGGGCGTAATCTGGGCTACACCCAACGTAGCCTGGTTTTCACTCGTTTTCTGGCTAAGGATCTACGCCCAACGTAGAGTTAAGAGCATACAGCGCGTAGGTCAATAAAAGGTTGACTGTTAACTTTTTGACCAGTTGACTTTTGGTCAACTATGATGGGTTTAAGACTCGGAAGGGGAAAAATGGTCTTTTACCCAATTAAGGATTATCCATGTTATTTTTCGACCCGTTAAGTTAGAAAATTTCTTTTATTGTTAATCGGGGTCATTTTGGTTATGTCTAGAGTGATTGAGGTGAGTCTTCTTACCACACTTGTGGGTCAAAGGAAACAAGTCGACTTACTGGATTATGTTTGTAGGATGATGGTTGTCTTTGTAACACTTGTTGATATGCCTATATGTGTCACACCTTCCCCGCCCGATGGCGGAAAATGCCGAGTGGTGACGGTATATTGATTTCCCAAATCACAGAGCGCCAATCATAATTACCTATCTAAACAAAAATCTACATGTCTTCATGTTGAT